TGTGTGTGACAGGGGGCGGTGCCCCAACTCCCCTATCGGCCCTACTCTGTGAGTGACTGGGGGAGCTCCCCAACCCCCTGATCGACCCTGCTCTGTGTGTGACAGGGTACGGAGCCCCAACCTCCCTGATGGGCCCTGCTCTGTGAGTGACAGGGGGCAGCGCCCCAACCCCCTGATCGGCCCTGCTCTGTGAGTGACAGGGGGCAGCACCCCAACCCCCTGATTGGGCCTGCTCTGTGCGTGACAGGGGGTGGCGCCGCAACCTCCCCATCGACCCTGCCTTGAGTGTGACAGGGGGCGATGCCCCAACCCCCCAATCGGCTCTACCCTGAGCGTGACTGAGGATGGCATCGCAACCTCCCAATCCACCCTGCTCTGTGCATGACAGGGTGGCGCCCCAACTCCCCAATGGGTCCTGCTCTGAGCCTGACCAGGGGCTGCACCTAGGGATTGGGCGTGCCCTCTGCCACCCGGGAGCAGGCCTAAGCCAGCAGGTTGTTATCTCCTGAGTTGTCCCAGACTGCGAGAGGGCATAGGCCAGGGTGGGGGACTCCCCTCCCCCTCCGCGAGTGCACAAATTTTTGTGCACCAGGCCTCTTGTCCTATATAATAAAAGGCTAATATGCAAATCGACCAAACAGCAGAACGACCAGTTGCTATGATGCTCATTGATCACCAGGGGGCAGACACTCAATGCAGGAGCTGCCCCCTGGTGGTCAGTGTGCTCACACAGGGGGAGTGCCACTCAGCCAGAAGCTGGGCTGACGGCTGGCTAGCGCAGTGGTGGTGACGGGAGCCTCTCCCACCTCTGCAGCAGCACTAAGGATGTCAACTGATGGCTTAGTCCCGCTCTCTGTGGGGAGCGGGCCTAAGCCATCAGTCGGACATCCCCTGAGGGCTCCCGGACTGTGAAAGGGCACAGGCCGGGCTGAAGGGAATGCCCCCTCCACCTCCAGTGCACGAATGTCGTGCACCGGGCCTCTAGTTTTTTATAATAAATTAAATCTCTCACAATTCCTGTTCACATTTACTATTATATTTAACACTTAAAATGATAGTACTGCCAAGGCACTATTCTTCTTATTTTACAGAGAAATACATATCCACATGAAGAGACCCATACTGGGTAAAGAACTTGACCAGGGCCACATTGAGTTTCCGAGCTGCAAAGGCCAATACAGCCGACTGGCACTGGTCATTCCAGGCACCGGGCCTCACAGAGAGCCTCTGGGCAGGAGGCTGCTGGACCACGATGCCACGGACAATGGACATGCAGAACCTGAGGGAGCACCCAGAGGAGGTGGCATATGGAAACATCACGTGGCTGCACAAGAAGCAGAGCAAACACGTATTACAATGCTTTTGTAACCTTGGCTACTATCACTATAGTTTCCAGAAAAAATGTTTTTCTAAACCTTCAGAGCATCGCCCGTGTGTCCGCTTCCATCTGCCAGCTTCCTCCGCGCCGCACCCCACGCCCCATGCCCCGCGCCCCGGGGGTCTCGGAGCCCAGGAAGCCCTGCCTCGCGGAGAGCGCACCTCGGGGAGCCGGTGTGGTTTTCTCCTGTTGAGAGTTTTGTTTTTAGGGAGGAAAGGTGCTACATTGCAGCAAGGCCACTGCAAAGAGCAGCACTACTCACCGGTCGTGGAGGGCAGGGACCTTGGAAGGACAGCGCAAATACTGCTTGAACCGGAGCTCAAAGGCTTGTCCGATGGCGCCGATGACGTCCTGGGCCAGCCCATCGCAGCACTCCAGGATGTGGCAAGCTGTGGGAGCAGCGCAGGCCCGTTAGAGGCACACGTAGCGCCAGGCCCGCGCAGCAGCCCTCCTGAGGGCGGAACCGTCAGCCCCAGTGAGGAAAGGGGGTCAGGGGGTGTGTGAGTCCTTCTTAATGTGTCCCGGGGCTCCACCTGCAGCTGAACCCCAGGGATGCATTCCTCAACAGCCTGTTCTCGCTAAAATTAAAAATCAATCCCTTGTGACAGGAGCCCGCCATCCCTCAAGGACACACTGTCCTGTGACCCGGCTGTGGCACATCCACGTGGAACCTTCAGAGAAAGGAGGGTCGCGTGGGGAAAGGCAAGAGAAGGCCCCGCCTCTGCTCTACGAGGTAGTGACTGCCCGTGGCATCCCTCCAAGCGCCAGCCTCTCCTGCGGTCCGTGGCTGATGGGACAGGGCTCTCCCTGGAGGAGACAGACGTGTCCCACTTCACCTTTCTCTGGGCTGCAGCTTGCATGTAAGTGCATTTAGGGAGGCTCGTCCTGGAGCACGGCAGGCGCCCAGCAGGGAGGAGGCATTCCCACGCGTGTCCCCAGGCACAGAGCCCCGCATGTGCTCCGGCCGCAGGAGGAGCCAGCACAGGGAGGCGCCTGCGCGTGGGAAATGGGCAGGAGGGGCAGAGACCGCACTGCCTTGAAGTCGGCTGACCTGCAGCGCGATGCTGCCTTCTCTGCACAGAGCCAGTGGCGCTCCCCTGGGTGGCAGCTGCCAGGCCGCCCCGGGCTGGAGGGGCACAGCCCTGAGGACTCGGGGAGCTCTGCCAGGAGGAAAGGGGCTGCCCCGCACTGTGGCCGCCATGCAGTCCTCGGACAACTAGGGCTGACAAGGGATGGTCCCAGGAGACCACGTCCCAGCTGTATTTTTGTTATTGACCATTGAGACTAGCTTTTAAGTATCAGCCCACGTGGGCACAAGCAGCGCCTGTGACACAGCTGTTAGGGGGCCAGTTACCGGCTGGCTGACAGGAACGTCCATGTCTTTCCAGCTGAAGGGAAGGAGGAGCCGAGGCTGGTGAGGGAAAGACAGCTGGTCCCCCCACACCCCAATTTCCAGACCCACACGCCACCCCCAGCAGCGGCAGCAGCCACCGGAGTGGCTGGCCGTCCTTTGGAAAGCCAGAATACAGACCGGGAGGGAACCATATGACCCTCTGGTATAAGAAAGTCAAGGTCAAGGGCCCAGCAGGTGCCAAGGCCCTGAGGCAGGTGCTGCCTTGCTGTTCAAGGAAGAGCCAGCAGTCTGAGGAGCTGGAGGCGGGCGGGAGTGGTGGGGAATGAGACAGGTGAGAGCAGGACTGAGCTCGCTAGGGCCCTGTGCACGGTGATGAGACTAGCACCACGTGGAGGGAGGAAAGGCAGACCTGTGGCTTGTCGGTGTGCGGGGCTGTGAGACTTCTGCGTGCAGAGTGCGCAGGCGCCGGCTCTCAGCCGGAGCCCAGCGGGACGGGCATTCAGAGTGTCTGGCACAGGATGTCGGAAGCCCAGGGCCTGGCTTGTTTGTACAGTCACTGTTGACAACAGCCAAGTGTGGAGCAGCCTAAATGTCCACTCACAGGAAACCCACCTCCTCCCAGCCTAAAAAACAACAAACACACCATCGCTCCCCCTCTCCCACCCGCCACCCCGTGCAGGTGAGGTTTTGTCAGCGCAGGAGTGGGAGTTAGAGCAGGTGCTGTGTTGTTTGCCCCCAGTGACATCAGAGCATTGAGGCCTTTCCCGGGAAGTCACCTCCTGGGCCCGACTAGGGTCCAAGGCCAGAGCAGCCCGAATTCTGTTGAAACAATCCCCTGCTGTTAGAGAAGCCGGGAGTGGGCAGGCGTGGCCACTGGAGGCAGCATTCCCACGCGGGTTTCCTGCCCAGGCCGTTCACCAAGGTTCCCATACAACTCGATGGCGTGGGTCAGAGGTCTTTCGCCTTCCACCAGGTTAACTACAGAAGCATGGATTCTTGACACCAGGTTCTCACTGTAAATAACTTCTAGCTAAACCCAAAGACATGCAAAATGCATAGGCAGGAATCATCATGGAAAAGACAGCAATAACAGTGAGAAGCTCTGACCCGACTCTGAGGGATTTTGACAGAAGGCTTTCTGGGACCCAGGTGTGTCCTGACACCTGCCCGCCTTGAGGAGCTGTGCCTGCAGCCACGGGACCACGCCGGCACATCCACTGGGGCTCTGCTGGGGAGTTAGCTATCTAAGAGCCCAGACAAGACATTTACTACTTACTCCCAGAATGTCTTGCTAATCTGACTCCGAATGGCAGAGGCCATTCTTGCTGCATTAACCTCGCTGCCTGGCCCCGGGGGTGGGGTGGGGGTGTGGAGAACAGCAGCTCCTCACTAGAAGGGGGTAACTGGGATGGACACATGAGCTGAGGCAAAGCGTGCTCCGAGATCATGTTCATGGCGAAACCGTGAGCCCCTCCCTGCACCGAGGCTGGGCCTGCCGTGGGGACAGAGCCCTGGTGCAGGGAAGGCTGCAAACTCCCTCGGAGGGTGGGTCTGGCCCCTCCCTGGACCGGTGCTGTGGCTGCTGACAGTACGAGTGGCGCAGCTCCTCACTAGAAGCGGGTAACTGGGATGGACACATGAGTGAGGCAAAGCGTGCTCCGAGATCATGTTCATGGAGAAACCGTGAGCCCCTCCCTGCACCGAGGCTGGGCCTGCCGTGGGGACAGAGCCCTGGTGCAGGGAAGGCTGCAAACTCCCTCGGAGGGTGGGTCTGGCCCCTCCCTGGACCGGAGCTGTGGCTGCTGACAGTACGAGTGGCCGGACTGGGGCTGTGCCTGGCCTTTCGGAGGCCTAGAAGCTTCCCCTTTGGTGTCTCAGAGCTGAGAGCTGTCAGGTGAGAAGTCCTGCACCCTGATAGCCCCTCGGGCTCCTGGGGAAGGAAAGGCTCAGACACCTTGGCCGTCTGGTCATCCCTACCACAGTGTCAGGTGTGGAAGCAAAGTAGACTTGGACCCTCTGGACCAGGCCAGCCACCAGCCCAAGTCCACCCCGTGCCCCCACTGACGCCACATGGAGCAGGAGAGTCGGCCGGCTGAGCCCTGCCGGGATCCTGACACTTAATCACAAGTGACAGGTGACAGGTAATTGGCAGGAAGGAGTGCGTGTCTCCCACCAAGTATCTCAGAGGGCCCCGTGCCAGGGTGCCCCAGCACTGCCGCACACAGGGCCAGTATCCTCCTCACTGGCACCGCACGCTGCCCCTGGGGGAGCCGGGCACAGCACCCACGGGATGTGGAGTGGAATCTGATTTCCATGACTGTGAAAAGGCCCTGTGGGCGAAGGCACTCCTGGGCATGGCTCTGAAACGAGACAGCAGCCTGCACACTTCCATGGCCCCAAGTCCGACTGCACTGGGCCCAGCCCCTCCCTCCCCCTCTGGAGCCCAGGGCCAGTATCCTCCTCACTGGCACCGCACGCTGCCCCTGGGGGAGCCGGGCACAGCACCCACGGGGTGTGGAGTGGAATCTGATTTCCATGACTGTGAAAGGCCCTGTGGGCGAAGGCACTCCTGGGCATGACTCTGAAACGAGACAGCAGCCTGCACACTTCCATGGCCCCAAGTCCGACTGCACTGGGCCCAGCCCCTCCCTCCCCCTCTGGAGCCTGGTTCCTGCCACGCTGCGTGGGGCCACCTGGAGGGCTGTGAGAAGGCTCGCTGGCGGGCCGGTTCTCAGAGGCCTGAGCCCTGACTTGCCAAAGCTCCCCTACGTGACTCTGAAGTGTAGCTCACTGAGAGCCACTGACCGAGGAGTCCCTGAGGACGTCAGAAGCGCATAGGACTGATCCAAGTTGACTTCAACAACCGTTAACCCCGGGCGGAAACAGAATTCTGTGCCGGGAGGTGCAGTCTGCGCCCCCCCTCCCGACCTCGTGGGACTTCGGGGTGGTTGAAGGATTGGCCTCTGTCATGGGTTAGTGTCCTCAGTGAGAGAGGTGCCCTTCATCGGAAACAGGGCTGCTGCAGACTGACTAGCTAGGGCGAGGTCAGCTGGACGGGTGGGTCTGACCCAGCACATCTGGTCCCTGTAAGGTGGCCCCGGGAAGCCAGAGGCACATTCAGGCTCCGGCCACATGAGGGCTGAGGGCGTGGGGAGACACCCGCGTGCCCAGGGGGCAGGCACCTGCCTGGAAGCTGGAAGAGGCAGGAAGGACTCTGCCCTGCAGCCTCCAGGTCGGCAGCTGACCTCAGAGTTCCGCCTCCAGAGCTGGGAGACAGGCGTCCTGTTGCTGTGAGGCTCCTGGCTGTGGTGTTTGTACAGCAGCCCCAGCAAACCAAGAACACGGCCTCCACCCGGGAGGAGGAGCTGGCGCTGAGCTGCCCTAGTCTGCCCTCTCAGACAGTCACGTGCATGTTATGTAAGGCCCTTGGCATCTCTCCTCAAACCCGTTATGTAAGGGCTGCTTCAGTTCAGACGTGGTCAGCCAGAGCATGTTAGCAAGGGGTGCTGGGGACAGTCCTCAACTCACCCAGACCCTCTTGTCCCTGTTCCATCCACCCTGAAATCTGTGTCCTTCTCCTGGCTCTGGTTTAGGAGTGACGATGTGGCAATTAGAGCACGTTATCTGCATTAGAACACCTCATCTATGAACCCCCAGACACCCCAATGCCAGCTTCTAGGGGAGCCCCAACATACCTGGAGAAGAATGACAGCCAACACTCTTTGTAAGATCTCACCTTCATTCCCAAGACAGAGAAGGCCGCCCCACCAACCACTGCTTTCCAGCCCAGGGCTGGGGAAGTCTCCAATGGAAAGCGCCCTCACTCACTTACAAGGCACCGCAAACGTCCTGCCAGTCTGCGTGGTCATTTGCAAGGTGCACTGATGCGTCAATCACCCGGCCTTTCCCCTGCACCCGCCTCATTAGGGGCCACAGAACATGCGGGAAGGAAACGCAGCCCCGGGGCTCCATAGACCTGAGGGCAGATGGCGGTGAAGCCGCGTCCTGGACAGGTAGCCTGGTCTCTCTAGGCTGGCTTGAAAATGGAATGCTAAGATCTCATTTGTATTGAAATGTAAAAAGAAGGAAATATGTGTGCAAGTACCTTAATAAACTGCTGCCCACTAGAAAAATGTCGGTACCGGGTGCTGGGTGGGAAGAGAGGCAGCCAGTGGGTGGGGGAGGGAAGCATCGCTTTGTGCTGTGTCGACGCCTCTGGTGATGGTGGGGGGAGGTCTGAATTGGAGTTGCTGGCGAACCAGTGGCCGCCTGGTACTTCAGGGCAGCACCCTTCGTCGGCCCACCCCCAGGCTTGTGAGCCTCGGTGAGTGGGGCTTGGTTTTAAGTGGTAAATGGGGTGGTGGTGTGCAAGGAGAGTCTAGGAGTAAGGGCCCGTGAGGAGAGAAAGCACTGGAATGCCTCGGGCCCCACACCCCACCTGGGTAGCTCCGAGGGGCAGGGGGTGACAGCACCTAAGCCTGGACACCAGCCCTGTGCGGGGCAGCACCAGGCTCCTGGGTGACTCAGCAGAGGACACCGGAGCTCAGCCCATCTGGGCGGCTGATCTGTAGTCTTCTGTGTGCAACGGGGCCACTTTCAAGGTCTGAGGGCAGCGGCCCGAAGGGGGCAGGTGCTGCGAGCACGCTGGCCGATACAGGTGTGCGTTTGGAGCTCACAGGCCCAGCCAGGTGTGCCGCGCGCATCACCGCCTGTGACCCTCAATGACCATGAGCGGTGTGAGGTGCGCTGGCTCACGACAAAAGGGCTGAGCTGAGGGGCATGTCTGTGTGAACCTCCAGGGTCGAGCCTGTGTGTTTGAGGAGAGATGCCAAGGGTCAGGCATTGCTTACCTCTGCGGTTAACAGGGTCCTTCGCTACATACGCAACGTAGTCCGTTGTGTCCTGTCAAAAAAATCAGGCATCCACGTCACTAACAGTGCACAGACCAGCTCAGGGCGACATGCCGTCCAAACAGCCCCTGAGGCGGCCTTTCTCACACCGCACCATGGCATGGCGGGGATCTCGGGGACCTTGTGCATTGCAGATTCGGGTGGGGGAGGGCGCGGATCACTGAGGAGCTTTAAGAACAGTCTCAGCTCCCAGGAAACCTGATTTATGAATTGGGCGTGAGGCCTGGGGATGGGGGTGTTTGAAAGCTGCCCGGATGATCCCAGTGTGAACCAAGGCTGAGAGCACTCCATCAGCTCTATCTGCTCAGCGGGCCTCTACCTCCAGTCTGACCGTGCCCGCAGCTCTGTTACCATGACCACCCCGTGCCAAGTGCCCCTCCGCCTGTGTAAGCACCAGCTGTCCCTGGACTCCTCCCCAACAGGAAACTGAGTGCTCAGGGCCCTGCATTCTCCTACCTGCTCTCCACTGTGGGATGTAACACCCCCTGGTGACAGTGTTGTTCACCTCCAAAACTGTCCTATTTCTCAATGGCATCAGCATCTGACAGTTTAAGGTTCAGATAGGCCACTTACTGAGTTTGTGATCAAGGGCCTTATGCAAATCTTACATACTCGTGGGTACTCAGCAAATGTTTATTTTCCCCCTTTAACTGGAGCTGGTGTTAGACCCCTTGCAGGGCTCGAACACGGACTGCACAGTCCCGCCCAGGGCTTCCATGCGCTGGGCCCGAGGGGAGGCCACAAAGGTGTGCTTTTGGCAAGTCCGCAGGTGCTGCTGCGGCCGCTTGCCTGGGCCTCCCTGAGAGCTGCCGGTAGGCGACACTCAGCAGGGGGTGCTCCATGGTTCTTTTTTTTTTTGGACATAAGTAGTGATTTTATTTTATTTTTTTAAAATCTTTAATGTTCAGATTATTACAGATGTTCCTCTTTTATCCCCCCATAGCTCCCCTGCACCCAGTTCCCACCCCACCCCAGGCCCTTTCCCCACAACTGTCCTCATCCATAAGTATAAGCTCTTTGTCCAATCTCTTCCTGCACCCCCCCCACCCCCTTCCCCCTGAGAATTGTCAGTCCACTCCCTTTCCATTCCCCTGATTCTATTAAATTCACCAGTTTGTTCTGTTCATCAGACTTTTTATTCATTTGATTTTTAGATTCACTTGTTGATAGATATGTATTTGTTGTCACTTTGTTGTTCATAAATTTTTATCCTTACCTTTTTCTTCTTCTTTCTCTTCTTAAAGAATACCCTTCAGCATTTCATATAATACTGGTTTGGTGGTGATGAACTCCTTTAACTT